GGGCGCCAAAGCATAAATAGTTTAAAAGTAATGGTGAATTAGGCATAGGCACTTGAAAACTGTGTTCGGCCACCTTAAGTGATGGCTCGGTCGTGAAAATCTGGGATCTTTATGTGGTCATTTTTTCTGATTTCTTCACAGGCGTGTAAAGGTTGTCTGAGGTCAATTGCTCCTCTTATGGGCTCCGAGTCCGTAAAAAAGATGTTCCAGAAGCACTTGTTAGAAGAAGGACATCTTCATTTTGGCGAGTTTATGAACGACTTGTCAAGGTTAATTGTAAGTGGTGCATTTTCATTGCTTCTACTAAGTGATAATGATAAGTGATACCAATACTGTCAACAGAAGGAGAAAAAAGTGGACCAACGACAAAACAACTAGTTTGTGATAAACACTAAATTTTAAATAGGGATGTAACTTTAAGGAAGGAAAAAAAAATTAGCATAATTGACCACAAGTAAATTTATGAAATATGCTCAAAATGGGGGTAAATGATGATATAGGGTTTCCGATACATGTTGGCCAGAAAGTTAGAGAGCAATGGGTTTGGACGCTTACAGCCGAGAGTTTGACCACACAGCATGGCACACCATTGATTCCTTCATGCAAGGATGTGATGCCATGAGGCAACACGAGCTTACACCACAGTTGTTTTGAGTTCTTTAAACTCCCTTGATTGTTCATTGTGACTCTTTGGAAACAGAAAATAATTTCTAGTTCTTCTCCCATGATGAACTATACCCTTTACTTTGTTTCCGTTAAGATAAAACTTTTCAGGCAATCACAGTGCGCGTAATATCTTGTTAATTTATATATACAATGGTTCGGCATTATCTTTTTCTTTAATTCTTCTCAGCTGGAGTCTGATGTACTTCTCTGCCTGGGAATTTCTTATTCTCTTTTCCTGCTTATCATTTTTGTTTGTGTTTTTCTCCTCAGATTGTTGATTTTCCAGATAAAATTAGTTTTTACGTTATGGGCTGCGTTTCATTCTACAAGAGTTCGCGAGATGACATCAAGGCAAATGCCGCGCTATTCACTGGTGAGTGACCGTCAACTGATTGGCATTCTTAGAAGTCTTCTTATTAAACGAAAACAGTGCTTCCCCTTAAAAATATGCATATTCTGTAAAGCATCTCGGTTTTGCGTAAAATGAGGTGCTAGGAATATTGTTAACCCGTAAGGGGATGCTGTAGTCCATTGCAGGTTACCCCGAGCATTCTGCCAGGTAGACCTAACAGCTGTCTGGCTCCCATTTAAACCCCGTGGTACAGAGAGACACGAAGCACAAAGACACAACACAAAGACCTCGGGCAGGGCCTGAACCCAGACCACTCGATCCATTCAGTCATTGGGCCATTGTATGTTACATTATGTACACGAGTCTTTTACAGGGTTTATTCTGTAAAATTCTGTCGTTGGTTTCATGACTTGCAGGTTTTATTCTGGGTAACCTTCCTCAAGAAAGAAGGGACGAAGTATCTAAAGATCACGTGTGTGGAGGTAAGTTCAAGTTTGCTGAGCCATGGTGGACGATTACAAGGCGAATTTCAAACTGGCGTCCGAAACACATCCTCTGGTAATGATGTTGGCGAAGTTCCAGTCTAAGCTGAAATTCAGCCCGAACTGGAAATTTCAGCCTAGGCAAACGGACTTTAAAAAAATGAAATAAAAATCCCAGAAGAAGCCTTGTAATCGGATTAAAATTTCAGCCGTGCCGAAAAGGAAACTTGGGAATGCGTGGTGATTGCGTTTTCAATCAAGCAAGATCAGTGAAGATGGCGGTTGCGGAAGAGAGAAGGTTTCAATCCGGACTGAAATTCGCCATCATCAACAAAATTCCACCCTCTCTAACCCCAAAACACCTCTAGCTTTAGTTAAATTTCCCCAAGTAACCACTCTCTTATTCTCCGCTCCAGAAGCTCCTGATGGACAGGGAACCAGCCAGGTGCTTTGGAATTTAGAAATGGCTCCGGCTTTTTGACAAATTGGGTCAAATATTTCAAAATCAGTTATGTCTTGAATTCACTCTAGGTAAAATTCTCACTCTCAAAAAGAAAGATTGTCTCTTATAACACTCAATGTGACATTGCTTATATAGAAACATATTAAAGTATTTCGCCATTTCATTATGAACTTAAAAGTACTTCTCTCTATTCGTTTTCAGCCCTGATTCTTCTACTGAAAGATCCTTCACCCCGAGTGAGATGTAAAGCCGCTGAAGCAATGAGCTTGCTCTACGACTATTGAAACCAAAGATAGGAACTAAGACATGAAATATTTGAGTATAAAATAGATGTATTGAAATTTAGGTACCTTTATTCGACAGAATTGTCCAATATTTGACGTGATCATAAAACAATCAATGCAAACTAAATAAGTTAACTTCGTCATTGTGATCCGTATACACAAGGTTAGGGTTGTTCAAAGGGTGGATAACCTTATCCACAGGAAAAATGCAGTAGACAAGTGTTAACAAAACAAACCACGCTATCCACTGGATAGTGATTTATCCGGTGGATAGCGTTTTCCACCTTTCGAACAACCCGGGCCGGGTTAACGCTGAAGATAATATACACCAGGTTGGTAACGACATCTTTGTTTCATGCAGTAACCTACCTATTATCCGAGGTAAAGAGTTTTTTTTTTTCCCGTATTTGTATAGATCAACATTGATCAGCAAATTATTTTGCACCAAAAAAGGCGTTCATTAAAGTAGGTAGTCAGATACAAGAACGCCAATTTCGCGTAGCATATTTTGCTCGCACTAGGTAACTTTAAAATTAAACAAAATTTGAATTCCCGGTGTAAACCGAGTTATTGCGTGTTTTATGTGTTTAAGAAGTTTTCGGTGGTTGATATGCAATTTAAATTACTTAGTTATGTTTTTTTTTTTTTTTGGAAAGTTCTCTTTATCAAAGAGTGAATCGGTCTATGCCTGTATTTTTGTAGAAGTATCTTTTAGTAACACGTAAAGAAAAGTACGATCACTCTAATCCTGGGGTAGTCAAAACCTCACAGCTCTTTTCGTGTTCAAGAGGCTTTTACTTTTATCACAACTGTTCAGTTAATCTGAACAGTATTTGTTGCAACAGAAAACTTTAACTATTCATTTCAGTGTTTCGAGTTGGCTCGTGGCCATGGCGATGGCCGTTGGAACATGTTAGAGAATCCGGTTACGTTCTTACGGGAGCGAACTTACCCGGACGTATTACACCACGTGTAAACAACAGAATAACGGACCCTTTTCGGCGATATGACGGCCATTTTGAATTCTATTGTTTCAAATTGCTATTATGGGATTCTCAGGGGCCAAACCCTTTGCTACTTTGCCCCTTAAGCATCCCATAATAGCTATTTGAAAGAGTAGAATTCAAAATGGCCGCCGTATCGCCGAAAAGGTCCGTTCCTCTGGAGAGTCCAATCTAGTGTAAACAAATTATATGGGTTTTGATTGGCCAAGCGATGAAAAATTAACACAAACATGCTGAAATGATGTCAAACAGTGTGTTATTTAAATTAAAAGAGTACATTCCTCTCTCTAAGACCGATGCACGTGGGGGTATTGTTTTTATTATTCTGCAAACTTAGCAGGGACGCAGGAATTTTGAGTAGCTTATTTTCAAGGGATTACTAAAAAAAGTAAAAGGGTGAAAATTAATTTAAGTGTCAAATGTTCAATGTTGAAAGAGTGTCTGTATGTAAATTGAATAAAGAATTACTTAAAGAAACAGCTTACGTTGTTTTCAAGTTATTTTGAACTAATTAGTTTATGGAAAGACGAACTTGGGCCTTGATTGGTTTTTGGTTTTACTGTTCAGGAGAAAGACCATAAATTTCCTAAATTTAAACGGGGACTACGAAGTCAAACTTGACGATAACATTTATCTCTGTAAGGAAGCCCTCGGAGTACCAACGGTCTGAAGGTAGCGACCTCAAAACTAACTGACTTGCTGTTAAGGAACAAAGCAAAACAACAAAATGTAATGCGTCACTCAGTGCCATACATTCTTGGTAAACAAGTGAGCAAAGTTGAGCATTTATTCACGTTTTCCAGGTCGCAAATTGTCCTCAATTTGCCCGAAAAATTTGAATAAAAAAGATTACTACTTAACGAAAAACTGTTTCTGTTGAGGATATTTTGAAAAAGGATTTCGCCAAAACTATTTCACGAACGTTTCATCTAAGCCATCTGTATTGCAAAATTCCGACCCCTCATGATCAGTTTTCCATGTGAAAAATACAGCGTATTGTCTTATTCGACGGTCAAACAAGGCCTCCTCGATCTCGCGTTTTTTTCAGTGCGCCATAATTTTTTTCTTATTATTATTTTTCATAACCTTTATTAACTATATTGTACTCAGTTACATCAATAAATGTGAAAGGCTACGCTACAAGCATGCGCGCACACGCCCACACACACAGTACGTCATGTTGGTAAGTTCAACAGTTTGTTGTTTCCGTTTGTCCCCCCGTGTGCTTATCTCTATTTATTCGTTTTATTTTTATCTCGGTTAAGTATAAGGGTGTTAGAGGTAAATAAACGTCATGGGAGATCTGTAATTTAAAAAACAAACGAAGCAAATTTTAAGGAATCGAGCCCGTCTATTTTTTAGACACCAAGTCTGCAAACTTCAGAGTTCACTGACATTCGCGTCGATCGAGATGTTTGACTTTTTCTTTTTTAAAAAAAAAATTGTTCATATCAACGTTTTGTTTTGTCTTCGTGTAGTTCTCACCAGATTCCCTTCTGAATCTGAAATAATTGCCAGCTTCGTTCACAGTGTTCTTTTTTCCATAGACATAAGCATAATAATTATGTATTAATAATATTAAACATATCATTATATATTACGTTTGGAGATTACACTGGACAAGCTGCTCACAGGTCAGAAAATCGCCAAAAATGTCCGTGGAAAAACTTACGAAGCTTCGTTGTCTTGTAAAAAAAACGCTTTAAAGTGCACGACCCACTAGGGAATATTTACAGTTTTTGCATACCACCTGTCTCCAACGCCTGAATAAAAAGCGAAACACTGAACACTGCGGCAAGGTACTTATTAGGCAGAGCCGCACTGTTCAGGTACAGCAACAGCGGAGACCAAAGATTGGAAAGCTTGTTTTACTCGACACACATCTCTACACAGGGCCACCCTGTACTCTACGGGTAAGAACATTTCAAACCCGTGAAGCCTTTATACTGTATTATGAGACAGAAGTATTCAAGTGGTTAGTCCTCGGTGGTTAGTCAAAATCCACAAAGCGAACCACCTTCTGTCAAGAGGTTACGGAATCGGTCGAACATTTGCTTTCCTCCTGTAGGGCATCTTTCGATTTTTGGAAACACATCTTGTCCGAACTAAGAGATAATGATGTCCATTGTACCATTTAGGCCTATATTGTATTAATGAGTCGGATTTGATCTCGGGAAAATTTGCTATATTGGGTAAATATTATATCGACTGTAGGAGATGTTTGAATGGCTTACCTACCGTACTTAGATCAAGGTTTTATTGCTAGAACAAGGCGTGTAACCAAAATCGAGCTCCATATTGCCAAGGAGAAGAATAAGCTCCTTAAGCATATTCAAAAGTGGGAAAAGTTAATTTTCTGAACCCTGGTAGCTGGTTAAAGATTATTCGAAAGCAGGCAGAGGTAAATCAGAAGTTACACAATATAAGACAACTCTATACTCTCTAAAAGAATCGGCGTCATTATAGAGCGAATTGTCTTACATACTTATCGTGTAGCCGTGGCAATTTTTGAATGTTAACCACTGTCAACTCAGTTATTTAGGCTTACAACCTCTCACATTGGCATGCAAACCTCGAGTACATCACAAACTCCGTGTACGCGCGCATGTACGAAACGCCAGCACGAGAGGAGGATCAAAGACCATCAAACTAACTGACTATGAACTGATCAGCGACTTGTGTCTGAGATGCTTTCTACAGAAAACAATTTTCAGTAATTTGTAACCAAACATCGACAATTGCGGTCTAAAGTTTCAAGTAAGTCTCCGTTGGCAAGTCTCCGAAACGCCGCTGGAACGTGCAAATCCCATCAAGTGCAGCTAGCTGGGATTCCTCTTTGGAGACGCTTGACACAAAAGTCAATCAATGGATTGAATTCCGTCTAGATTGATATTGTTGTTGCTGTTGGTGTTTTAACAAAAAAGCGTATTTCTCTCATTAAGGCAAATTTACTTTAGAGAGAGTTTCTTCAAATTCCCAGCTAGCTCATGATGCCACCACTTCTGACGTTTACAAAATTTTACGAGAAATCTGAAAGAGAAAATGCCCTCAAAATGTAAGTTAATTAGTCGATATTGCCACGTAACTCGCCCACCTTTTTCTGTACATGCAATTGCAACTATTTTTCTTATATCCAGAACATTTTTGTCCACTTCAAAGTTTGAGGGATAAACAAACCGCAATTACCGGAATTCAAATGATTTTTTAAAATTTTTTTTCCTGAAGGAGTTATAGCTAGGAGAATCGAGCAAAGTCTTCATGGAAAAAACTCGTGAGTGATACGCCACAATAATTTAAAAAAAATACTGTGAGTTGGAGGAAGTAGGAGCCTTCGTCTTCCGCTATTCCTGTTTCGTCGACCTAAGTGAAAAGCGACGGGTTTTTATATGGAGTACGGAGAAAAATTGGGAAGATCTTCTTGTACAGATAAGACGAGTTTTCAACACGAAGCGAGCCTGTATAACTTTTCTGGTTAAATTCGCAATGAAGCTGAAACGACAAGACCGAAAGATGTTCTGGGTATAATATTTACTCGTATTTGGCGTGTATTGGTGAAGAAGAAACTTACATATTTGTATTTTTGAACGTGAAGTATTTGTTTTTCCTCGCATGACAGCTTGCACGATGCGTTTTGCTGTACATGCAGCATTGCGTGGCTTTTGAGCGTGGATAAGAACATGTTTCCTCATGCCTGAAGAAAAAATAACTTACGTGATCACGCTTTGTCTGCCATGTCTCATAGGTAATAAAAATGTAATGAAACTAATAAAAATGCTCTGTTCTGATTGGCTGAACTACTGCACGCTATCAACCGTTAGTATATACAGCGGTTAGAGGTCGTCCACAAAGTGGCGACATTTGACCGCATGAAAAGAGCCTTTAACAATTATTCCATGAGCCCACATTGGATGCGAGCTGATAGTAATAACAAACGAGGCAACGAATTTGTTAAAATCACCCCTTATCCAACAAGGGCGAATGGAATAGTTCTCTTATTAGAACGACTGGATGGATGGTGTGGACATTTCAGTTTGGTCTAAACGAAGCGATGGCCTGAAAAAGGCGGGAAAATTGGCGCGCGCGTGTTTCTCACTTTGGAGTTGAATGGCGCTCGTCCCGAAAGCAAGCAAGAAAGAGGTTTCCTGTGTTTCTTCCGAAATATCCTTCTCATTTAATCGCTTCCAAATTTGTCTACGTTCTGGAAAAATGTGACAAACGACGAACGATTTAAGGGAAGACCCGAAGAAGCAGTGTTGCTGAAAGTTATACGGCGCCTTGTTCAAGTCAAATGAAGCCAGAGTTTACTTGTTTGCACCGACTGTCATCATGAAGACTACAGATTGTGTTGCTCAGAATCGATCGGGTTCACTGAAGCACAAAAGGACAAGACTCAATTGTAAGGTAACAAGCTTTAATTGATGATAGTGACATTTTGTGGTTTAGAGTTCGGAATGGTATTGTCTGTTATTTCCTGTAGTTGGGGAAGCTGGAAAGGAGAAAGTACATCGAAACGGCTCAACGAGATGTTGCCTTCAATACCCAAGGCCAAATAATAATACATATCGTTTGGTCATAGAAATGTTAACCAAGTATAAGCGGCGTTAACGATGATAGAGGAAAATAACATGATGCAGAATCCTCATTGCAAACAGCTTTAAAGCCATTCTGTAAAATATAATTGGAAAGTATGAATTGAACCCATTTTGTAATCACTTTTCGACTGTAAACGACCTTTGTTATGGGCCTTGCTATGTTGAAATATAGCTACTAATGTGTTGATGCCTTAGGTGATCTTATACCCAGAAATATTAAGTCTCTCCTCCAAAAACTATTTTTCCGAAATATGAACATTCAACATCTCTGAGCATTTGCAAAACGATTTTTCTTTAATTACTTGTTTTAGATTTAGAAATCTGCCCTCATGAGTGTCAAGGTTATCGAAAGGAGATGAACCGATCTCTCTTTCAGACACAAGGTCTGCAAATTACGGAAATAGTTGACACTCGTCTGATGCAAATTGATTTGCCAGGTGCTTTTCTCTGAATGATTGAAAAAAAAAAACAAAAAAAAAAAACAAAAAAAAAACGTGCATCTGAACTCGAGAACGGAGTGCCTGACCGAACATTAGCCCCCTAAACAATAGAGCACTCTGCACCAAAAGTAACTTTTTGCAAAAAAAAATAAACTTCTATGGGCAGACCAGTTACTTAAAAGACGTACATTTCCAAAGAGCTGCGATAAAACATAGCAAGTTTTCTAATCGAGACTTTCAGGCCTTGAGAGTCAAATTTTCTTGATTTACTTTCTCACTGTAAACTTACAGAGTTAGCAGGAGTATTGTACAAAGCTGAGNAATTGATCTTTCTTCACCATATTTAAACAAACTTTTTGGTCCATATTGAGGGTACCATACCACCTTAAGGCATATTTTACGTTTAGCGAGCGATGCAAAATGATTGCTTGTTGTCTATCTGCCATTTGCCGGGTAAAATAGACGGAAATTTATAGGCCGTTGTGCCAATTTAAAATTCAGCAGTAGAAACATTTTTTAGTTTTTGGTAGTGCCGTGCCGAAATAGTTTGGGTACGGTGCCAAAAATTTGACGTGCCGTGCTGATTTTTCAACGCGCGTAAATGGGGCTTTGGATTATCACTAGTGTCATTCAGCCCTGCACACTTCTAAAACATGACGACAGAATGGGAACTTTCCACTTGGTTCAGGGAAAAGTGGTTTTAATCCTTTTTTGTTGTTGCTGAGCAAGTAACTTGAAGCAAGCTTGAGATGTTAAATTGATGTTTCATTTTAAAGTCTATATCTAGAAATCATCAGCAAACAACTTAATGTTCTTAGCAAAAAACGTCGGTTTTTGTCATTTTCAAACTCCCCCCTTCACTGTTGACGAGTCGCTATTTCGTGTACCATTCAAGTCAAACGTTCAGGATTTGAAGTCCTCAGGCCCCGTGTCCTTGTAGCTCGATCGTTTTTACGGTTTTTATACTACAGTTGTAGCTGCTAAAAAGATTACAGAAACATATCGTTTGATGGTACAGCCACACTGGGGCCATACGTAACTGTAATAGACTCACTAATTACTGTGTAGTAAAATGAGGAAAAAAAAAAAAAAACCCTGAAAATCGCAAAAAATGATCCCAGCTCGAAAAAAAAAAAGTCTTTCACAATGGCAAAATTATTTCCTGCAAAACACAAAAAATCACCGATCTGCAAAATTAAATTTCCGCATAAATTCAGCAGTTCATGCTCCACGGTAACAACCAAGTTAAAATTCAAGATAAGCTGATAAATTAATATTTGAGGAACAATAAGAATAACAGAAGCTGCATATTAAAAACATGCAAACTGAAAAAGATAACACGTTTCGCTGCTAACGTTATCATTTAGGGGTAGGATCAAAATCTGGCTAAAAACGTGGCAAGAACGTGACCAAAAACACGATCGTAGAATCGGCGGTAAGTTTCAAATTCCTTTGAAGGTGCTACGGCATTCTTGTCGTCGGTTTTCGGATTTTGTTCTTGTAGAACCTCTTCATGGAAAGGAAATTCTTCAGCCTTTACTGACCTCCAACCGGAAGAAGGCATAAGCCCTAAGCAAACTGATCTATGATGATCCATCCGCATGAAATTTGATAGCCAAGCTTTTTTTTCCCTAAAAACCATAATGAATATTCCTCTAATTTGATATCTTTAAACTGTAGCTGCAACTGAGCTACATGAAATCCGTGATTCAAGATTTGAGCAAATTTGCTAGGAAATCAAAGAACACTTAGAGGCCTCTTTACACGGGCCTGGGTTGAATCACCGAGGAGAAGGCCAAAAATAAACACTTTGCACGAACCTTGGGTTTAACAGAGGGTGCTAAAAATAAAACCTTCACCGCAGAGGGTGCTAAAAATAAAAACTTTACACGAACCCGGGTTGTCAGTCTGTAACAGCATGTGGTTCGTTTCGAGCCTGACCCGGGTGAGCCTTTCTACCAGCCGAAACACTTATATGAAAGAATTGAAGAAATTTCAACTCTAGCCGGGGCAACCTGAGCTTGGGCTAGGGTTACCCAGCAAGGGGGGCTGACCCGGCTAGATTAGATTTTTAATGTAAACGCTTACAAGCATTTGACTGCAAAAGGGTTACCCTTCGCGGTGATTCGAACCGTGCAAGAACGTAACACAGGCCCTCAAAAAAGCGCGTAATTTTACGTTTCGTCGAGTTAGACCTTCGTCACGGTTATTATAGGGTCAAGGTTTTGAGTGTGTCAAGATCATGATAAAAATAGATGACAAGGTATCGATTAGACGATACCCACTCTTCAAAAAAGTCTTAATTGATAAGCAACAAAATCTTGAAAAGGCAGTACTTTTGACGGTGTGGATGAATTATGTTAACTATTACATATTATGGATTCGAACAAAACTGTTAAGGTCTAAAGCAATTTGTTCATTGTTCATTCGTGACTGGTTTTGAAGTCAATCTACATCAACACTATTGCACCTGACTTCCTTCTTTAAAAGTGTTTCTATTTTGATGATAAGTCGATTATCAGCGCTTGCACTTTCGGAAGTACAAAATAAAAAGCTGTTGGAAAAACAATACCCCAGTGCAGCAAAGAAAAATAAGCATAAATGAAGACAAAAAATTCTGGGATTCACTTATTATTCGCAAACTCAGACATTCTGAATAGCAAACAATCAATCACTTGGGAATCACAGCAATGTGCTTACTCAATGGTTTAAAAAGGACGGACAAACGCAAAATTTTGGGGTAAACATGTTGTAAAAATAAACTAATAACAGCAGAAATGTGGTCAGATTTTTTAGATCTGTCATTCCTTATTATAGAAAAACCCGTTAATTAACTAACCGTTTAATTCTTTCCGCTTCCAATGATGATATTTTTGGCAAAGAAAATAAAGTGAGAAACCTCTGCACATCACGCGATTAATGGTCCTACAGAAACCAGGGTTTCCAAGCTTTCTGAGTTCTGTCAATTTAGTCTTAAGATTTACACAGCAGGTTACTAATACAGCTCAGAGGTATTTCGTGCTTCGCCTCAGCGGGAAACCTGTGCTCGGCGCGGAACGTGGTCGCACTTGATAGTAGAGTGTTCCTAGCTGCGTGCCCTCGTCTAAGCCGAATTTTCGTCTTTATCCATAATTTCAGAGCTTTCTCTATGAGATTAGGAGGCAATTACGCACTTGCGTGCAGATTTTTACGTAAAAATACATACCTTGGAAAAATTGATCTTTGAATATTAGCAGCGCCATAAAATTTCAAAATAGTATATCTTTAACTTGTGGTAACTTGTTTTAAACTGTTTTTAAGCTTGATGTGAGTGAGTATTTTAGTTCTTCGGTACATAGATTATGAAAAGGTTTCTAACTTTGTTCCATCGAAAGGTTGTTCTTCAGTTTTAAATTCTCTGGCGATGATTTGTTTTAACAAGATAGGGTTGCTTTTGAACACATTACCAGTATAATGAGTCGCAGATGGAAGCAAGAAGTGAAAATAGCCAATTCCCTCTATGAGACGCCCCTGCAGTGAATCATGGTAGTTGTATTCATCAAAACAAATATTCAGTCCAAGATGATGAATACAACTGCCAAGGTTACCTGCAGGCTCATCTCATGAGGGAATTGGCCATTCAGATTGTAAACAGCTAGGAACAAAAGAAACATCCCGTGATTCGCCGCTAGAAATGTCGAACACGGAAGAAAATTTCCACGTTTCGCTTTTGCGATAGCCTAAATGAAAACATGCATCGTGTAATAATTCAGCCATTTAAACTTCTAAAGCTCTTAACTAATTTGTAGATTATTTATTATTTCCGTTGGTTCATTGCCAGAAATCAAATAGTTTGACAAAATATGAAACCCGCTTAATGTGATTGCATGCTAGTAAAGCCAGTTTTGTTTACATTACAGCAGAGCAGAAAAGCACAAGTTCCTTCGCACCCAAAAGGAAGTGTTCCGCCCATTTTCACAAAACAGGTATGAGTTCTAATTGTACAATTGAGGTGGCATCACAAGTTCAGTGTACTTAAGTGATAGGTTTGATTCTGCAGTTTGATTCCAGGGACCCGTTTCTCAAAGGTCCCGAAAAGTTTTCGCATCCCGGAAAGCCGTAGCGAAATCTCAAACCTTATGATTACAGAACTGTTTTATTCACATGCTCTTAATATGAACAGAGGTTCCCTTCATACAAGAAGTTTCAGGCTATACACCTCTCTGTATTTAGGTACAGATTAACTAGAAATGGCTTTGTGGGGCCAAAAAGTTTCAGGGGCTTGCGAGAAACGGGTCCCTGGCCAGCCATTTTGTTTTCGGTTCATCTACTAATGGGTACACTCTCAGCCCCCCACCATCACCGAACAAGGGTATAGTAACTTGCGGAATATGATAAATGATTTAACAGTGGATTCGTGCTTTAGCGCGCATCACCAAGTTATGATGCGCTCGCGGGAAGGGAACATAAAGAAGCGAAAGAGTTATTCGAGGAGCAGCCCAATTCTTGAGTGCTCTCTAAGTTTCCCAAGAACATCAGAACTGTATGATGTACAGCTAAAAGCAGGAATCGATTGTTTAATAACATTGTCAATTGAACTGGCTTTTATTGGAGTATGATACACCCCTGTGCAGGCCTTTCCAAACATCTTTCCGGAAATTCTCAAAAAAAATGCTAAATAAATTCGCCAAAATTTTGCTTAATATCTCGACAAACCCTCTAAATATCTCTTATCTTTGTGTTAAAAATAGAATGATTTTGAGTCAGTAAGGCCAAATATTTCAAAACTTTCAAAATTTTCTTGCAAAAGTAGAAGGAATAGAGGGAGAAGATTCAGGCGCATCGATGTTTCCAGCAGCCGCCATTTTGGAGTCGCTGCTTTAGTGCTTTTAGTAATATGGCATATATTTTTCAAGTCGGATTTACTGAAGTGCATTGTTTCTAGCATAGAACTGAGTATTGTTTCAAGAAAATAGAGAGCAAAACAAAGGGCTCAGACCGAAAAGTATGATGACTTATGTGTAAAGAGTTTGTCAGAGCCGCTGAGGTATATGATAAATGAATTGATATGAAAATGGTTTGCCAGCCATGTTATATATTATTTTGATTTTGGTTGAACGTTTGTTTAACAACAACAAAAATCTAGAATACATCTAGATGCGACTGCATTGGTTTACAATTCTTGGCACTGCTGCTTGTTTTATTACCGGTCAGTACTAGTCAAAGAATCAACAAGGTTACATCCCAAAGATCTTTACTTATAATTTACTTCCTAGAGGTCAAAACTTCGTGCACATCGAAGGACAAAACAATTATAACATTTCCCATCAGACTGCAGCCACACAACATATCGAACGGACTCCTCCTCGATTACTCCTAGTTATATTTTTAAACTCAGGTATGCTTTTCTTATTTTTTGTTCCAAGTTATAAAACGTTTTACTCTAATGAAATCTCCTACATGTTTTTGCACGTTTTTGGCGGATTAGAGATTAGTTTTTAGATAGCAGCCTTCATAGCTTGATATTTCTTGTCTCTCTTAAAACTGAAATGTCCGTAGCTGCTTCCTTATGTCAAGACGAGTTGAGGGGAACAACGAGCGGGAACCCGAGAGTAACAAAAAAAAAAAACAACCAGCTTTATTTGCATGACCATAAATACACACACCGCAAAAACTTCTGTAAACTAAAACTAAAACAGTAATGATTATCGAGAACGTATAATAAGGTTATGATATAGCAATCAATGCAAGTTACATTGGTTTGATTTGAAAAATGAATATTGCGCAGATCAAAGCAAAATGAAATGAATTTTGCTTATTGAATCAGTGATTAACATAATGATTTGTATAAATCATAAGTTCGCTGATGGCTTGTAATGGAGAGAATTTTTCAAAAGTAGGAAAAATATTTTCGATTTTTCTATAAAATTTATCTCTTAGAATAGAATATTTAATGCATAAGAAAGTGAGATTCATCTTCAATTTGATTAGATTCACAAATAGGGCAGAGTCTGTTAACCCTTGCTATTTGATCATATCTTCCAGTTTGAGTCCTCAGTTTGTGATTGCCTATCCTAAATTTCACTAGTTCTTTTCTTTCGCTTAGCGGCTTGCTTATGAGCCCTAAATTAGACGAAGGTGTATAATCGTTCTTAAAAGTGTTGAAAAAATTTCGGTGTGTTAGAGTATTGCCTGGTATGTTCATAAAAAAAATACCGCTGGGAAGAGCCCCTATCCAGGTGTAGAAGATGTTGAGGCTGCACGGTCCCGTGTTCCAAAGAGGCTACTTCGTTGAGGCCAGTAAACGAACGACTGAAGTTCGATTTTGATCGGTTGAAAAATTGTTCAATTTTCGAACGTTCGATTGTGTTCGAGTAGCAAAGTGTTTGGGTGAGTTCGATGATGTTGGATTGCCGAATCCAATCGAAATGGAGTCCGACTGACTTCTCTGGGATCCTAGCACTTCCTAGTACAACAGATTTTCTCGATTTATCATTCTTTGCATATAAGCTTCAATCTTGATGATTTTAATCACCGTAATCACAATGAAAAGTGACAAAAGCTGACATATTTTCGAAAAATCCATCGAAAAAAGATTGCTTGCTGCGAGCTGTTACACGATTAATGAGTCGTTCTGACCCCTAGAATAGAAGGTTAATAGATGTGACTGTTTACCCTCGTGTCGACCATTTTTTTCATAGAAAAAGCAAGATTTATTTACAGTACAAAGCTTTGAATGATACAAATGAACAAGTGTCGGCGAGATAATGTTCACAAATATTTTACAAGAGCTATCGATAATAGAAGGACGAGAGACAGATTAAAGATTAATGGAACCATTGCAACATATTTTACACGATTTGTCCCTTTATTCATAAGCTCTGACAAGTTGATGATTGCTTTTAATTAACTTTCAGATAAAAAGCTCCAAAGCAAACAATAGCGGCGGGGTTTTCGCATATCGTAACGGTGGCCTTGTCGGTGTTATCAAACGATAATTAAGTACACTTCTCCTTAGGGAAACGAATGCTATTCTAACTTATAAAATAAATTCCTACTGTTTGGGAAAAACGAACTGATATGGCCTTCGAAGAGAAAACGCTGTTTAATATTTTTCAACCCAAATGATCTAATAAGGCAAATGAACTATGCAAAGCTCTCGCATTGATTGACTTTGTTTGGAGGGAGCAGTATAAGCGCTTTATATTAACACCGCGGAAGGAGTTTGATAGGGTGAGCGGCCCAATTCTCGATTGGATTTAACGATCTTTTACATACATTTTTTTTCAGGCCTGACTAAACAATCGATACATCATTTTTGTCAGATCTCTAGTTGTAAATTAATGGCACGTGTCCAATACATGATCTCTGCTATCTATTTCAGACTACTCTCAAATCCTGTGATCGTAAATAGAAAAAAATTAATCGACTACCGTACCTTACGTTGCATACAAACAATTAAATAGTTCAATTAAAGGAACCCTTCCGGGACTAGAGGAGTATCAACTAACATGAAGCAAGAGACCGTGGTCTGATTGGATAGTTCGTTACTATGCATGAAATTACATAAAAGAAGGTTGCATTCTGCTTTCATTAATAAAAGTGGCTATGAGCCACTCGACTTGGAAAAAGGATTGTCTGTAAACAGTAGCAATTTGAGTTTTTAACCCGTAGGTCATATATCATTTATATATCGAGCTGAGGAGACGAAAAATGAAGTTAAAGCCGCAATGGCATTGAAACCGCAACGGAAACAAGAATGCAGAAGGAGACGTGATACCGTTGAAAACATTAATGAAGTCATCGGTGATCCTTGTCCGAGACGTTACCACAAACAAATTACTGCTTCTTATCCGATCACCAAATAAATGTAAAGCCGAGAACTTATAGCTAAGTTAATACTGGACGTGTGACCAAGTAATGTAATACCTGTATTACGGGCTCTTGGTTTCTTCCCAATCTTGTTATCGTTGTTGTTGTTCTTCTTTTTGCCCATCAATATCAGTGACTTTCCTCCCACTGCATTTACTTTCTAACGGCTTCATCGTCTTCGGCTTAACCCATCCATTGCCCCATGAGTGTTCGCGCTCCATCTATGTAAGGTTGTGTAGATATATCTTTGATGGGATCTATTCAGTTAGGCATTTACGATCGTAGGTATCCACTATTCTAATCAGCTTTATTCTATATATAGAGACATTCATGCGAAAATCTTCTCAATGTAGATTTTTTCTATCGTGAGATATCGAGTACTTGCACCACAAATGTAAAGAACAAATGTGAAACATTGTCAATAAAATTTAAACTAATCACTCAGTGAGGGAAGGATCGAGTGCATCTTCCATCCATACCTACAACTTGGAAGATATTATTTTCCAAGTTAAAAACGAGACGTGAAAACTACTGCTTTGTGCTTTGATTATTCATACTTTCAGAAGTAAAATGAGTTATTGTCGTGCTTCCCCGGACTATATAAACATGCCTGTGTTTCTTTCGTAAATATGAAGAAAGCATAATTCTGTCTGACCTCCACAAATGAGGGTTAATAGATAATAATCGCTAACCCTTTAAGGAGACAGGAGTGTTTTAGTTTATCAAAACAAAAATATATTCACATTGGTCCCATAAAGTAAAGCTTGAAGATTTTGTTGTAATAAGTTATGTAAAAATATATCAGCTCCGGAGATGTATAACAGGAATAATAGAGGGAGATAACAGAAATCTAAACAATTAATACAGTTACTAACTGGAAGTCCATAAGAATAAGGCTGCTTTCCAGACTCTGCCGAGTTTTGTAGAATTTGCCAGTACTTTATTTAAAAAAGGAATGATTTTTGTTGGGAAAAATACTGAATAAATAAAGAAACAGTGATCAATTGCGATGTAAGGTATTAGAGTATATTTATGAATGAAGCGAAGGGTTTATAGTAGATTACAATTTTCATCGCTAGCCTGTAAAACAGCCAAACGTTAGGATAAAAGTTTAACTCCCTAAAAAGCGTTTTAAGTTACCATTCCAGAAAACGCTTAAAAATATACAATATACATTGTAATTCTCGAAGTATTGAACAAGAAGATGAAAATTTCTGTGGAAGTATAAGGAATGCCAGAATATGAGTATTGCGTTTGTATTTTCAATCCATAAATTGGTTGTGCAATCTTTAGCATATAGTCTCTAGAGACACCGTCATGCATAGCGTCTCACTCAGATTTGTTGGCTTTAATACCTTATACAAGAAATTCAAAATCTTGCTCAGCTTGACTCAGTTACGGGAGAGTTATAAAACGTCCCTTCAATACGGAGTCAAACACTTTCAGTTGCAAGACAGTTGTTTTCTTTGTCAAGGTGGGGGAAGTGGATCGCGCGAGTTGTCACTGACGCGGGGATTGTGGTCTAACTTGACTAAGCCGCTGATCGAACGACGTCAGTTAGATAGCGAGTGATCTGATGATATTCTGTTTACATGTTGTCGTAGGAACTTCAGCCATTTCTGTGCCATAGTGTATCATTTCTGATCACCCCTTCTACTTGCTCCTTCTGGACTTTCAAATCGAAAAGATCGACGGTAAGTGGATTGTGTGTAAATTGTATATCATGAACTGGACCTTTCCAGGGCTAACAAGGGGGAGCCTCCTATTGCACGCCGTTCACATAGACGGAATCACGACATTTCAAGCTCTTCAAACGCTTCCCGGAGTCAATACTACAGTTTTCGCTTTCATTCACATTTTAGTTCCTTTACTCGCATATCTCAATCGTGCTTGTAAAGTTTTAGAATTGTGCTGTAGTTGTATAGCCTGGCATAGTTGACTAAATTATAGTTGTAGCTATTTATTGCTTAAGTTTACGTTCATTTTCCATAATTGGGCTTTTCTAGTTTTAAGTTCTGAGTATATATATCTCTGCATTTGTCCGTCACAAATTGTTCTCTTTCATGAGCAACATCGTAATATAATTTTTCAAGCACTTGTTATCATGTAGTTGGTAAACAAAAACAGTTATGCTCGGAATCTTTTCCTCGATGCTCGGTTTTTTGGCTCAGCTCCATCGTAAGTTTGGGTGTTGTCAACTTACTCCCTGTACAATAGTACCTCGCTCAGCTAGCTAAAGTAAATTTTGAGACAGGTGTTAGTCCGCTAATCGACTTAGGATCAAAATAGTTCCCATTTTTTCAAGTTTGAACACAAACAAGCCATTAAGTGAGGTATTGCTCTGTTCTTTGGGGTGACGGGGGCAGTGTCAGAACAGGGTAATGTCACGAATGAAACAATCTTTAATCTTTAATCTTTAATCTTTAATCTTTAATCTTTAATCTTTAATCTTTATTTTTACACGGTAAAAATTTATCAGGTACAATAAATTCCAATAAAATGTCTAAGATCCTAAATTCAACAATCCAATAATTCACTTCCAATTCAGAAATGTTTGTGCTTGGATCATCTTGAGGCTTGGAGTTGATTTGAAATCTTGTGTCTATATTTCCTTGGGGAAGCATGCTCATGATAAAAAACGAGTATTAAATAAGAGCAGGAGAGAAAGGGGAAATTAAAATAAATAAATAAAAAAAAACGCAAACCGACACAAGTAGGAGAGAGGCCGCAATCCTGGTGTAAGGTTTTGAAAAAGGAATGACTAGAAGTTAGAAAGAAATTTAATAACAAAGGAGGAGCTGTTAAAAAGGTAAATTGAGGTCACCGTTAACTTGGAACGATTCTATTTCAATTTGTATTTCTTGACAGTGTTCGTCTAAGCATAAGCATAGCATTTCTCGATTTCTTGGCACTTAGCTTAAGAAAGGTTTGCGTTTAGATTCTGGAGAATTTCCTTTACTTTAGATGAATAAATATCACATCGCTGAAGAGAAATGCATGGTGTAGAAGTATATCCTCTGTACTATCAGCTAGATTCAGGAAAGTAAAGAAGGGTCAGTGAAAAGTCTTGTGGCTTTACCTGACGCTTTATTAACCAATGTTGGATGTTCTGACGAAATGGTGAACGATTTCACAGTTCCAGAAGAGCTGCATCACAATGGAGGAGCTCTTAAAAAAGAGTCCAAAAAGGCAGATTGAAGTCACAGTTATCTTGAAACGATTCCATTTCAAACTGTATTTCTTGACAGTGTTCTTCTAAGCATAAGCATAGCATTTTTTCGATTTCTTGGCACTTAGCTTAAGAAAGGTTTGCGTTTAGATTCTGGAGAGTTTTGTTTACGTTAGATGAATAAATATCACATCCGCTGAATAGAAATGCATGGTGTAGATCTATATCCTCTGTACTATCAGCTAGACTCAGGCAAGTAGAGAAGGGTCAGTGAAAAGTCTTGTGGCTTTACCTGATGCTTTATTAACCAATGTTGGACGTTTTGCCAAAATGGTGAACGAATTCACAGTTCTGGAAGAGCTGCATCAGAATTTTTGATTTTTTTTGTTTTCAAAAACGAGTTTTCATTTGCTTGGTTGTTGTCACCAAGATACTCCTGTACCCATTTGGATTTCAAAGCGCAATTGAAGGATTGGATATCTTACATTTTAATCCACTGTCTTTGCATTCGTTTAACATCACACTCCTTTTGCTTTTATTCCCTCTCAGAAAC